ATTTTCCTCCCTTTCCATAGCATTTTAGGATTGCAAATACCTTAATATAATCGTCATAAACAGTCCCCACACTCCGGACAGCTCACCTTGACTACTTCCTTCATCACTTCCTACGTCGCGGACCTGTTTTCCTCCCTTCCCGTAGCATTTTAGGTTTGCTGATACCTTAATCTAATTGTCATAAACATTTCCAACACTCCGGACAACTCGCCTAGACTACTTCCTTCACCACTTCCTACGTCGCGGACCTATTTTCCTCCCTTTCCATAGCATTTTAGGATTGCAAATACCTTAATCTAATCATCATAAACAGTTCCCACGCTCCAGACAGCTCGCCTTGACTACTTCCTTCAACACTTTTTACGTCACGGACCTGTTTCCCTCCCTTCCCATAGCATTTTAGGATTGCCCATACCCTTATCTAATCGCCATAAACAGTTCCCTCACTCCTGACAGCTCGCCTTGACTACTTCCTTCACCACTTCCTACGTCGCGGACCTCTTTCCCTCCCTTCCCATAGCATTTTAGGATTGCCCATACCCTTATCTTATCGTCATAAACAGTTCCAACACTCCGGACAGCTCACTTTGACTACTTCCTTCACCACTTCCTACGTCACGGGCCTGTTTCCCTCCCTTTCCCATAGCATTTTTGATTGCCCATACCCTTATCTAATCGTCATAATAGTTCCAACACTCCGGACAGCTCGCCTTGACTACTTCCTTCACCACTTCCTACGTCGCGGACCTGTTTCCCTCCCTTTCCCATAGCATTTTTGATTGCCCATACCCTTATCTAATCGTCATAAACAGTTCCCGCACTCCGGACTACTCGCCTTGACTACTTCCTTCACCACTTTCTACGTCGCGGACCTGTTTTCCTCCCTTCCCATAGCATTTTAGGATTGCAGATACCCTAATCTTATCGTCATAAACAGTCCCCACACTCCGGACTGCTCGCATTTACTACTTCCTTCATCACTTCCTACGTCACGTACCTGTTTCCCTCTATTCCCATAGCATTTTATGACTGCCTATACTACTTCCTTCACTACTTCTTACGTCACGGACCTGTTTCCTTCCCTTCCCATAGCATTTTAGGATTGCAGATACCTTAATGTATTCGTCATAAACAGATCCTAGACTTCGCACTGCTACCCTTGACTACAATGTATCGAGTAATCTTAAGTATAATCTTTGCTCAATATTAACAAGTGATGTTTTCCTTTTGTACTGTATTTGTAATTTCCTAGTATACTGTGGGTAGTTGGCTTATTATGAGCACATGCTAAAACTTCAAATCTTTTGTTTACTTTTTACTTGTTATTTAATTCAGCCAACATGGTTACCTAGCAACCCATAAGACTAATGTTAAAAAAATGTAATTTTCAGTTTCATTTTTCTACGGATTCCTGACAGACTTTTTTAACGCCATATAGATGTTGGCACTCACCGATATGGTCTTTATCACCATGCAAAATTTGAAAACGATTGATTCAGCCGTCTAGGAGGAGTTTGCGTATTACGAAATGCATAAAAGTCGACGTATAAGAGCTTCGCTCGCTTCGCTCGCTCCGCTCAATAAAATCCACCACTTTTCATTTCATTTCATTTTCATTTTTATTAAACGGCAACACCATTTTACAAGTGGGTTTAACAAGATTACATTATACATTGTGCATTATACATACATACCAACGACAGAGCCATTTGAAAATGAGCGAAAAACAGTTTCCAGCTTAAACACAAAATCAATAGACAAACGATATATCGAATGAAGCAATCGATTAATCGATATATCGATCGATATTTTCATTCAAATGAGTGTAGGACGTCAAGTAAAGTGCAGCCCTTCACGGCTTTAGTCAGTGCCAGTGGTTTGGAGAACTTTACTTTTAACCCCTAACCCTGCAAACAGCTATAACGGTTACACGGTGGCCGTGGAACGGAACCAAAAGTTTACTACTGCTAAACTGTGCAATAACAGTGACATCATAGCAGTGCTTGTGCGCATGCGCGACAGCTGCACCTCCCCCTTCGACTAGAAGGTCGTATAATTTTTAAATAAAAAATCCAAGGCACTTACCATTTAACTTTTTTTGATATCTCTTATAGTTTTCGAATAAAACGGCTGGCACACTTATATCAATCACCCTGTATAGATTCCCCCATGTTAACCTTATGGGAGAAAACCTAACTTGATGGAAGATCCTGCCCAAACCAATAAATATTTCAACAAATGAAAACCACTTTGCAAAACTACAGATCAGGGCAATTTGTTTGACAATTAAATCATCAAAATAGGTCTAAAAATGAGGGAGAAGTTCTGTTCACAAAAATCGGCTTAGCGTATTATATACACTGTAGATATATATTAGACTAGCAGAGTACCTATCCTTGTATGGGGTTAGCATATTAGTATAAAATTCTTTATTACAGTTATGGGAGAGGACACGGTTTAAGAAAATTTAGTCTTTTAATTTATAAGATATCCTATAGTGTAGCACACATCTACCATAGTAGTACGTTGTGTACAGGGCCATATATGGGAAAAAGCTGCACTTTTTGATTGGGATATGGCACTTTCAGTGGTCATAGCTGATACCAAAAGGTAACTTTTCAGATAGGGAGCCACTTCAAATTCCGTGTAAGACACCAAAATGGCGGTCATTAAAGATGGCCGTCATATGCTCACGTACTGTCCCACAATATTTGTTGTATCTCAGCTTCTAATTGTCTGATTTCAAAAATTATTTTTTTATATTAAAGCTGTTTTGTAGAGGAAACTTTTTTATATTTAACATTTACCTGTAAAATCTAAGCATTCTGCAAAATCTTTATAAAAACACAAAAAATAATATTTTATGAAAGTTTTGGTAAGTACCATTATTGTTGTGCTAAGAACTCATCTTAAAATTAAAAAGGGACATGTAAAGCACTAGGTTGATAAAAAGAGATATATATATAGCTTTAGAAAAATCACTCATTTTACAAAAATATAAAGCAGGAAATATGCTTAGTCGGCAGGTTTGCTGTGGCGGGGGTATTTTGCTCCATGTTTGACACTGTCTTTGGCATGGAGGAAAATCCTGCTGTCAGCTTCTTCTTGTTGCTTGCATTTGACTCCATCAATTGAAGATTCATCAGTAAATGGTAAAAACTGTTTTTATCCCATAAGACCCCCCTTAATTCCCCGTTCTTATGGTCCGATCATGCTGGTTCACAAACTTGTTTAGAATAAATGTAGATTAATCCGTTTGTACCTAACTTTAAAAAATGAGATCATTGTTTAGCACAACTATAATGTTACTTACCAAAACTTTCATAAAATATTATTTTCTTTTAGTTTTTATAAAGATTCTGCAGAACGCTTAGCTATTACAGTTAAATGTCAAATACAAAAAAATTTCCTCTACAAAACAGCTTAAATATAAAAAAAGAATTATTGAAATCGGACAATTAGAAGCTGAGATACAACAAATATTGTGGGACAGTACGTGAGCATATGACGGCCATCTTTATTAATGGCCGCCATTTTGGTGTCCTACACGGAATTTGAAGTGGCTCCCTATCTGAAAAGTTACCTTTTGGTATCAGCTATGACCACTAAAAGTTCCATATCCCAATCAAAAAGTGCAGCTTTTTTGTGTGTACACACCGTACTATAGCTTTAAATTCTACAAATGCACCTAAACCATAGAAACAATTAAAAATCTCATTGTGTACCACAAATTTTTGGCCCGACAGACATCGTCCTGTCCTAATGTGGTTTTATGTCAAATGCTCGTTCATTTTCAAGACGAGTTCGTTCGCATTGCTCAATCACGTCCTCGTTGAAGTTCGTTTGCTACGCTTACTCACCTTTAGGTTGGAGCTCGTTCGCTGAGCTCACTTGCCTTCTGGTTTAGTTCGATTGCTTAACGCCTCCAGGTTGAAGTTCGTTCACTATGCTCACTCACCTTTTGGTTGCAAATTAGCTGTTTTCATAAATAAAAAAAAAATAATAATAGTGCTGCACCCTGTTGGTAAACATATTAACTCTTTAATGCTATTGAACATCACAGAATCAAATTGTTTAGTTGAACCAGCTGTTAAGATTCTTTAATTCCATTTAAATATAAGTACTCATAAGGTTAACATGGGGAACTACAGAGCCACTGGGGCGGAGCCAGAAATGATTTTTGAGATAAGAATATGCCTAAATGTTAACCGGGAATGTGAGCTATCATCAGGCCCACTTTTATAAACGGGCAGACTGGGCATATGCCCAGGGGCGCCGGAGGTTTGGGGGCGCCCACCACGTGCCCCCCAACCACCACCCGCTCGCACTAGGAAAAAAGAGGGCGCTACTTTTGGGTTTGCCCAGGGCTCCACTGACCCTTAACACGATGCCAAATTTCAGCCCAATCCGTCCAGTAGTTTATGCGTGATTGAGCAACACACAAACTTTTAGATTCATAATATTAGTAAGATAGATAGATAAATGTATACAATAAAAAAAAATAAACATTTTAACAAATTGAAATAATGGTTTTTAATAGAGCAGTTGAAGGTAATTTTACTTTTAAAATGTACTTACAAAAAAAAAATAAAAAAACAAATGTATTTTAATGCATGTTTATTTAGGCATGGGTTTTAATGCGGACACGATGGGTTGCTGAATCACAAAGTGATCCAAAAATGAGATGAGTGCTTAAAACAGTAACTATTATTTTGACGGGTTTACTAGTTTGTTTCATAACATACGAGTGTATTACATAACTTCATGGAAATTGCACATATGTAAGGAGTTTATTTATTTTAGCTTGAAACAAATTAAACTCCACGAGCGGTCCCCTGATACTTATTTAAAACCAAGATACTCAAAAAGACATCACTTTTATTGCCAGACCCTTGAGAATCTCAATCCCTGCATTCAGGTTTCAAATGAAAACTTTAAATGGGCCACATTTTACAAGGTGCACACAAAGTTAATCTAAGGAATAAAAAGCAAACAAAAACTATGGTGTTTAAAAAAATGAAACTTTAATACCAACAATAAAAAATGATGACAATTCTAGTCAAAGTTACATGCGCTAACACATTTATTTTGGTTTTGAAATGCAACAATACAGTACTTAAAGCAAAGATATGGTGAAAATACTCGATTCAGGAACATAACAAATTTTACAGCAGGATAAAGTTCCATTTGTGGAATTGCGTTAGGTAAATGCACTTTAGTCGACCTCCTCGATGGTCGGGCCTGAGCCGGCACCAGCGCCAGGGGCTGCTCCTGCTCCAGGTGCGCCAGGGAAGCCACCAGGCATGCCACCAGCACCAGGAGGCACTCCACCAGCGCCCTGGTACAACTTGGTGATGATTGGGTTGCACAGAGCCTCCAACTCCTTCTGCTTATGCTCATACTCTTCCTTCTCAGCAAGCTGGTTGGCGTCCAGCCAGCGGATCACTTCGTTGCACTTGTCCAGGATGGTGGTCTTGTCAGCCTCTGTGATCTTGTCCTGTGAACACGATAATTTTAAAACTCAAGACTATTTATTAAATAAATTACTTTTTATCAGTTGATAGTTAAGAGTTTTTGGTATGAATTATTATTTAATGATTCACTCAAGTTAATGGCACATACTGAAGAAATTCAACCACCCAGATGTGATTAGACCCTATCCAGATAATCAAAAATCTGGATGATTGGATTCTTCAAAGCAAAAGTACATAACAGTGGCACTAAGTAGGTGACTCATTGCCCACCTAACAATACATCACTATGATAGACTCGAACACAATTAGCACATTAAATTAGCAGCTAGCACTGAGAATTAAGAAACAGATGATACATGCAATAGTACACTTAAGTGGTTAATTGTCGTCCCCACCTCCTCTTTTTCCCCCCTAGGTATCACATACTACCGCACCAATATCGTAAGGAGACCCTGTGCGCTACAACTGCTGTACAACAATGCATTGAGGCCTTTCCATCTCTTCCTTGCTCGGTACAAGTACATTTCCACACCAACATACCAGAGCTAAAAGCGCACTGTTGTCCCATAAGCTTGTATCCTCTGTATTTAACTTCTCTGTGCAGCAAGTACAATGTACTACCACATACAACAAGGAACTTATTATTTTGGTTACATCTATTCATTTTTTCTCTTCGAGGTGATCTCGTAACTATTAGTAATGATAGGTAGGTAGTTATCCACCGGATGATTTAAATTTAGAAAAGTTCTGATGTACTCTGCTTGCTTGCTGTTCCTTTTAAAAAGGGAAAACTTATATTTTGTGGGACAAAGAGTAATTATTGAAAACCATTCATACAGGCATGTATCTGGAATGATGGTAAATGGTTTCACATCTCAGAAACAATGGTTTTCATCATAATGTTTAACCATGCTACATCATTAAGATAAATAAAAAAATTGTGTAAAAGAACCAGCTTGTGTCAAAACCTTCTGAGATTGTGATAAAAAGATTGTAAAAAAAACCCATAAAAATTGTCCAACCTTTAAACAATGTTATGTACACAATTAATATCAACAATTACCTTAAGTTTCTCATCTTCCATGGTACTCTTCATGTTGAAGCAGTAGGATTCAAGAGCGTTCTTTGCAGCAATCACAGACTTCTGCTTCTCATCCTCTGCCTTGTACTTCTCAGCGTCGTTCACCATCCTCTCAATCTCCTCCTTGCTGAGACGTCCCTTGTCGTTGGTGATGGTAATTTTGTTCTCCTTGCCGGTGGATTTCTCCACAGCCGTGACGTTCAAGATACCGTTGGCATCAATGTCAAAGGTGACCTCAATCTGAGGCACACCTCTTGGTGCTGGAGGAATTCCAGTCAGTTCAAATTTTCCCAAGAGGTTGTTATCCTTGGTCATTGCACGCTCACCCTCATACACCTGGATCAAGACACCAGGTTGGTTGTCTGAGTAAGTGGTGAAGGTCTGGGTCTGCTTTGTAGGAATGGTGGTATTCCTCTTGATAAGAACAGTCATGACACCTCCAGCTGTCTCAATACCAAGCGAGAGAGGAGTGACGTCTAGCAGAAGCAGGTCTTGTACTTCCTCAGACTTGTCTCCGTGCAAGATAGCGGCTTGGACAGCAGCTCCGTACGCCACAGCCTCATCAGGGTTGATGGATTTGTTCAGCTCCTTTCCGTTGAAGAAGTCCTGCAGGAGTTTCTGGACCTTGGGGATCCTCGTGGAACCACCAACCAGAACAATGTCATGGATCTGGGCCTTGTCCATCTTGGCATCCCTTAGAGACTTCTCGACGGGTTCCATTGTGCTTCGGAAAAGATCAGCGTTCAACTCTTCGAAACGGGCTCGGGTAATGGAAGTGTAAAAGTCGATTCCCTCATAAAGTGAGTCAATTTCGATGCTGGCCTGAGTTGAGGAAGAGAGGGTTCGCTTCGCTCTCTCACATGCTGTTCTCAACCTTCGTAGAGCTCTCTTGTTTTGTGTAAGGTCCTTCTTGTACTTCCTCTTGAACTCTTGTACAAAGTGGTTGACCATTCGGTTGTCGAAGTCCTCACCCCCCAAGTGGGTGTCTCCAGCTGTGGACTTGACTTCAAAGATACCATCTTCTATAGTTAAGATGGAGACATCGAAGGTTCCACCACCCAAATCAAAGATCAAGACGTTACGTTCTCCTGAACCCTAAAAAAATAAAACTTTGAAAATCAACAAGCAAACTTACATAACATGGTGTATAAGAAGGCCCTGGAGTAACATTATGAATTATACTGAGTTGAAGTGACACATGGTTTGATAAAATATACATGTAAGTGTCTAAATAAAATTATAGGCTATTGTAAAAGGAATTTTAAAATCAGCTTCCTGTTCTACTAAGCATTTAAAAGAAGCCCCACCATTTCTTGGGGAAATATCAAACTAATAGTGCTGTGTGCTTTTAAGGGTGTACGTAATTCTTTAATTGGGGAAGTTAATGGTGTATCAATTCCTTCTATTAAGTGTTCCTAAGCTTCCTACGCTTTTACCCTCAAAATAAAAAAGCTGCTGTTAATAATAGCTTTCACCGATAAAATATAGTATGGACACCCCTATTAAGTGAAACAAAGCTTCAATTCAACCTTTCACATGTTTTTTTTTTGCCAATGAGTATAAGGAGCTTTATCTAAACCCCAAATCAAGGTCGTCAAATTGATAATCTGAGAATCACTATTAGCCTTAACTCAGTCACAGTCACGATAATTTTTGCTCATTTAAATGACAACAATAATATACCATAAAATACAAGGTTAAGGGTGTAGCATAGAGCACAAGGGCCTAGGTTTGTAGGATTTTTTGAGAGGATAGCAGGCTTACGTGAATGGAAAAGAGTCCAAACTGGCACAGGAAACACAACACTTTACAACTATCTATATAAACAAAGAATTAGAATATTTCCCTGTCACTGACAGCATTTTCAACAAAGGAAGAGAGTTTTCTAAATTTGGACATGTAGAAAACTCTATCTTCCTTAGTTGAAAAATGCTGTCAGTGACAGTGAAATATTCTTATGTTTTGTGTATTATAGTTGTAAAGTTTTGTGTTTCCTGTGCCAGTTTGGACTCTTTCCCATTAAGGTAAGCCTGCTATCCTCTCAAAAAAACCTACCATAAAATACAAACAAGGATATGCATGCAAACTACTATCATAACGCTAAACTACTATCAAACGACTATTAGGTACTGAAGTAGACGTCCCATCTATATGGACCAACTGTAGCCAGTTTTTGTTAAAAAAGAATGTGGTTGTGTGAGCCAGTTACAAAATGCGCTAGTGACTAAAACACTATTTTCTACTTTATTTTTTGTTGCTGGCTAAATTGATGAGTCGTAACAGTTGCTATAGCTCACAAGTAATTACACTAGTTTTAATTGGTAAAAATATATTTAACAGAAATTAGTAATTTAGATCAGCACAATCTGCTAGTAGCTCACATCAACTACGACAATTTTGGTTAAAAAAAAACAGGCGACAACTTTAACATGGGGATGGAATGTCTAGTTGTATTAATAGTCAAAACTACCAACTAGAAAGAAAATGAATGTTCAAGGGTCCTTACAGATACCTTCTTGTCGAGCCCGTAGGCGATGGCTGCCGCAGTGGGCTCGTTGATGATCCTGAGCACGTTGAGCCCAGCGATTGCCCCCGAGTCCTTGGTGGCCTGACGCTGAGAGTCGTTGAAGTAGGCAGGAACTGTGATGACAGCGTTGGTCACTGTCTTGCCCAGGTAGGCTTCAGCTGTCTCCTTCATCTTGGTGAGCACCATAGATGACACCTGGAAACAGGATCAGCAGGGATGAGTAACACTAGCATGACAGTTTGTACCAAATATGAGTCTATAAGCCAACTGTGCAAGTTAACTATACGTTAGGTTAGAATCTCCAATAAAATTACATTACTAGATTCCAAAATGTATAATGAAGATTAACTTTTCATCGCTAAATTCTGATTATTGAATAAGCAAATTTCTAATTTAAAAGGCAATTGAATTGTTGGCAAGACCACCACAACAAGACTTAAGACCAGAATTCTATCTAGGATCCCCCTGAATTTGATCAATGATTCAATCCAATTCAATTTGCTATTACATGAAAGTCACCCATATAATTTTTGTTCAAATTCACATTATTTATGTCTGATATCTGCATAAAGAACTAGTTCCTGAATTAAAAACAGCCTATTTAACTTTAAATCTCAAAAAGCCGAATACCATTCATCATTTCCAGCCTTTGAATATTTTAACCCCATCTTTCAATAGTAGCCTATTCATTGCATGGAATGACAGTGTATACCTTCCAAGGACACTTCTCCCTATTTTAGTATTCATTCTTTAACAAATCTGCAAACTCATTTCAGTTAGGGTTCCATGGTTTTAATTCTTCACAAATATTAGAGTAGACATATGATTACTATTTACCTCCATGTTATTATATTTTTAGTAAAAAATATTTGGAACAAGTTATTACGTTGAATCCCTACGGTTTAAGTATGGAATTTAATTTATCCTGTAACAGTTTGTTTTAAATTGAAAAAGTGAATTACAAACCTCTTCAGGGTAGAAAGTCTTGTCCTCTCCCTTGTAAGAAACTTTGATCTTGGGCTTGGTGTTGTCATTGATGACTTCGAATGGCCAGTGCTTCATGTCGGACTGGACTGTGTGGTCATCAAACTTGCGACCGATTAACCTCTTGGCATCTGTAAAACATCACATTTGTCATGTATTATGAAATATGAAATCAAATACGTAAGTTACCTTCTATTTCATGGAATCGTTATGAATCAGAACATTCTTTGTAGGCCTATAGAAATAGTTTTCAAAATACCAGGTTGAAATTAGATTGAGTGCCCGCTGGTTATTTAAAGAAAATGCTGGAAAATTGCAAGAAAAAATCACAACGACTCTAGCATTAAAAAAAAATTAAATAGAGTTCATTACATTGTCAGACTACCTAAATGGACCAAGAGCATCAGAAAAACAGCTTGTGCTTAACCTTAAGCACGCACACGCTCTTTTTTTAACACTGGAGCGTGGGCGGGGGTCTAGTGGGCCCCCAAATAAAAATGGGCATACAAAAGTTTTTGATATTTAACTCTTTAAATTTTGGACTATAGGTATTCATTTTCCCATATTGTTACGTAAATTGTACCTATACTTTTTTATTTATTTAAAAAAGTATAATATTTTTAATAAACCATGGCAGCAGTAAATATGTCATGAGTTTATGCATTTCCTGGTTTATAGAAAATATTGTACAAAAAATTAAAAACATTCTTTAATAATGTGTGTTTTTTTCTAACATACTCGTACTGTGGTTGGTGTAGAAGTTCTTTTAAACACACTTTACAAATATTTTACATTTGTCCCTGGTACATTGGTTTTTTTTTGGGGGGGGGGGGGGGTTTACACTTAAATTTAATCTTGGTCTTGGCCTCTTTATGTCGTTTGTAGACGATGTACCACGCCTTTTCAGTGGAATCTATGGTTTGACATTTCCATCCAATTGGTTTACAGATACTATGTTTTTTAGACAAAATTTCAATACTATTAAAATTATAATAATAAAGTATAACGTTATTAATAGCCTACTAATTATGATGATAAAACTGAGACACTATGACGCGCACGGGGGTACACTTGACACCCCAATCAGGGTGTCTACTACATTCTGGATAAAAAATTCATGGACAATTCCCGTACATTTAAGGACACTTTGCCGTAACCTTTGTCGGTGTCATTAGGCCTACCGAATAATTTTCCTGATTTGTCAAACTGTATTAATCTTGTTATTCACTGTAGTTGTACCAGAGAGAAAAGTAAATAATAATAGATAAGAGTTAAAAATTACAAAATAGAAATTTATTGAAAGTAAACAAACATAGGCCTACCTATACTTTAGGTAAAGCTTTTATAGTGTAACAGAGAAACGTAATCATTGTCTCATGCGATAAATCATTGAAACTTCATAACATAGCTTATCCGATCCAGGCGGATTAATTTGGCATGATTTGCCCTGGCACAACGTTAGGTTCTTGACTACTTTTGAAAAAAAATCTTTAATGCATACTCAATTCTTAGTACAAAATCAAGGTATGGTAAGCGGCTATTAATAAGCAATAAGCACAGAGTAAGATTATTGTATTTTCATTTGTAAAGTTAATATCGACACATAGCAATCATTAGTTGTTTATCTTAGGCTCAATTACATTTTATTATTATTTTACAGCTCTTTCAAGAATCAAAATACCCAGGCCTAAACCTAATTATTTAGGAGGGCCTATATAAACTAAATAATAAACAGGTTATAATAGCAGCAAAGTTACTATCATCATTCTAGTTCATAAGATTTTGATTGCTTAAAGCATACAACTCAATAAATAAATATATGGGAAACAAAAAACATTGAAACCTGAATAGCCAACAATATAAGACAAAGATAAAGAAAATGCAATGACATAATTTGAAACCAAGCAGGCCCACATAGTGATAAAACATTAATGCATACAACAATGCATGTGGTTTTGTCAATTGAAAGATAAAATGTCCATAAAAAAGGGATTAACTTACAAAATAAGACTGTATATTATTTACATGTTTAATATGAAACCATAAAAAGTTTTATGGCACTAGGCACTGGCCGCGGCAAGTACAAGTAAGAAGTGAAATTTAACAGCCATTATAAAGCTATTATTTTCATGATAAAATAGGTTTGGGATCTAATAATAATTACCCTAGTAATAAAAAAAGAAGTTGTAAAGGAATAAAAGTGATACAACTTTTATGAGCTAGCTGCTGAGTCAACAGTTCTTGGAAGTACTTGACTTTACACTTGATTGTCGTGATAAAATATTAATGGGTTTGAGATTGTTAATGGGATTTTTATTGCATAATTACTCTAGTAATAAATTATGAAAATGTAAACAAACATCTGATAAACCTTTTATGTGCTCCTAACCAACTAGCGATCAATAAAATTATGGCCCATTAAAAATTTAAGGACATTGTCTGGCATTTAAGGAAAATTCCCGTACATTTCATGGCCAGTAAAAATTTAAGTACAATTCCGGTTTTCCCGGTTGGTAGACACCCTGCGAACACAGTACTGGTATTACAAGCATGCGCATGGGGGTATGCCAGACCCAGGGTGGTGATAACAGGTCAGTTGCTTGTGTAGTCAAACAACCCTGAGCCAGGTGATGGCATATGCTATTTTAGGCAGCTACTGTTATGCTCACCCGGTTTGCCACCAAACTTGTAAAATTATAACAAAATTATTGTACGTGGGGGTATGATATACTCCCACGCACACAGTTAAGGCTTAAGAAACATGGTTCTGTACATAAAAATTTTTTTCCAGCCATGGAGGAAATTGTAATAAGCCTATTGTGATTTGTAAGCCTAAGAGCTGTAGTAAGACATATAATAACTCACCGAAGATTGTGTTGTTGGGGTTCATCGCAACCTGGTTCTTGGCGGCATCTCCGATGAGACGCTCAGTGTCTGTGAAAGCGACATAACTGGGAGTCGTCCTGTTTCCCTGATCGTTTGCGATGATTTCTACTTTTCCGTGTTGAAACACACCCACACAGGAGTAGGTGGTTCCAAGATCAATACCAATAGCGGGTGCCTTTGCCATTTTAAATATTCAAGTTTGTCTAGAACAAAAACAACATGATACAATACAATTGTGATGTTAATATGCTTAATTAATAATTAATTGAATAAGAACGCTACCACAAGGGAAACCCAACAACAATGCGCTCATTGCAATGACTTCCTGCAGGTGTTTTTAACTTTTTTTATTTAGTCTAGAAAAAAATCACAATCAAAATAAAGTCTCGTCTCAAAGAACAAGATTTGAAATTTCCCGAAATTTCGAGACCCATCCATACATTTTTTTTAGGTTAGCACATACGCGAGAGGGCACTTGCGGAGGCTTTATCCGCAATAAAGCAATTAGGCCCTGTATGTTAACATAAAAAAGTATAACTTAAGCCTAAGTTGTAGAATTTATAAGAAACAAAAATCTAGACAGGGCGAGTGACACGGAGAAAACCTCCACAACTTAACCACTATTCGTATCTCAGACTAAACCCAGGAGAAGTGTGGGTATAACGTTTTGGGATGTGGTACACACATTAAGTAGACACACACCAATTTAGTTTTAAATAACTTATTTAGTTATTTTTTTACAATATAGCAACGTGCTTTAGTGTAAGCTTTACTCCGCAAGCACGTCTTTTGAGGGTCAAACTAATTTTCATGAAGAACTTGGAATGTGAAAATTCACTTTTAATTATTTGGTGTTTTTTAAACCTGCAATGGTGACATGATTTTGTGGCTTCAACTGGTAACGTCAGTCTGTGAGACCAGTTTTTAAGTTACATAGGCCTAGACTAAATACTTAAATTTTCTTTTTTCTTTGCCTAATTCTTTTCTTTCCTAATAATGCTTTTAAGCATTAGGAAGTTATGTAACTTACATGGTAGGCCTAATACAAGTGCAAACATATTTTGAAGGGGGGAAAAATATTACATTGCTAACACGGAAAAGAAATTCAGTAATTTTAACCTAACAAAAAAAACCAAATATCTATAACATTTTTGTAATTGTAAGGGTTAATCTTAAAACTAAATGAATGGTTTGAAAATCAGGAAAAAATGGTTGGGCTAAATACCTAGCAGTACCTAGTACCTAGTAGTAGTTAGTTATGCTAAGTACCTAAACTAATTTTGGTGACGTTTGTCTGAAGGATCGTATAATTGTTTAATGTTCATATAATTAAACTTAGTAACTTAAGCACCGTACAGTAACTTAACGTCAAAAAATGAAAAAAAGGTAAGTTATTAGCCTACTAACTTATGTAGTAGGCCTATAATGAATTTTGCCTTTCGGGGAAAATACATTTGCCAGAACACAATAACTAATGTTGACGTCAGTGTACCAGACTGCTCACACTTTCGGTGACGTTTTTGCAGGGGACTGTTGAAAGCTGCTGCGCAGTACCACTTAACCTCAAAATTCCACCCTAGCAGCTGGAGTGACTGTATTTAACCCTTTCGCCGCCACAATTTCTAAGTGGTTGCATGTCAAAACCGCCATTCACTAAGTCCACTTTTTGGTCAAGCTCAATGTTTTGATTAACAAGCTCTATCTCCTGTTTCTTTTGGCATAGAACAATAATTCTTTTTTAGTTAGATTAGTTATAAATTTGTCTTTAAATTAATATACAATTTATTGGGTTGGATTTGGTTTTTTATTTACGTACATATTAAAAACATGTTTTGCAATACGGGCCAATACCACCAAATGGGATAATTTAGGCTAAGGAATTTTTTTGTAATTAATATTTTCAAATTTACTTCTAATATTGGTTGTTTATTCTTACATATTGTTGGGAACACTCCATGGCAGCAGCAGAGCACAATTTTCATTTGTATATGAAAAAATAAACATTTCCAGTACCAAACGAGGTTGGAGAACAGACCGGTCACGCTAACTTAACCTCCCACGAAAAATTAATTAAAGACATTTTATGCAAACTGCTGACAGAATGTCTCCTTAAATAAAATAGCCTATTTTAGGAATAACATGTAATTATTTCCCGATTCAATAATTTAAACCTTTAAAAGTTAGTAAATGGTGTTGAAGTTGGAAGTGAAGTGTATTATAATTTGATACCTAATACCGATACAGGGTTGGTACTGATTTTGGAAAATGAAATTCCCTGACTTTTCCAGGTTTTCCAGACTGATATTATACTTTTTCCAGGTATACCGTAAGACGATATCGAATAGTCAGAATCAAGAATTATTAGAACAAATGTAGGCCAAAATAGTTTACTCATAAAACCAATAAGAAAAGAATTAAACATCTGGAATCTGGAAAATTAAGAGTACCAACTAACTTAACCTCACACTTTATGTTCTACTTGGCCTTGACTTGACACTATCAGATAGACGATACAGTGCTTCTGATACTGATATAGTGATATATATCGATATTTTGCTTGCGATATCATCGGCTTATATCGGAAGAAACATGTGATTTGGAAAAATAACTACCATGCTTGTACCGGAGACAAAAAGTAGTACCAAACTATACTATTAAATGTTTCAACTAACAGAATAAATTTTTTTTATAACCTCCTACAAGTGCAGTTTTTTTTTTTTTTAGTTTATTAAAGGTTGAATCAGTATTGGTATAAATTCAATGAGGAATTGTATTCAGTATTGTATTGAAATTGAAACGATGAATGTAGGCCTATCCTTCCACGCATCGCGGTACTAGCCGTGTTTCCATACGTGGGATTATTATCCCGAAAACAGGATTTTTAGAGCATGAGCGGGATTTGTAGGGGATGTGGGATAAAACAGGAGTTTTGGCTATGACGTCCGTTTTTATTTACTAGGCTATGCTTTATTTTAGTGAAAAACTAACCCCAATCGAAAAAATTACCTTATCAAAATATAATAGCAATGTTAAAACAACTATTTATTTAAACACAATATGTCTAATTTAACACTCAGAATTTAACATCAAAAATCTTAAGGGAATAAACGGGATTTCTTAACCCAGTGACCGGGATTATATTCTTTTGGTCGTGTAGAAACACTGGGAGCTCGGTGCGTTCAATTAAAGCCAGTAATCAGAGGGCGATGATAGAATGTCTGTCGATGTTCGATGTTTTTTATATTGATGGTAGGTTCCCGATGTTTTTGTCAAACTTCGACGTTTTTGACCAAGTATTGAGACGTAGATGCAAAATGTAGCATATCTGTAAAAAATGTAGTCTTTCAAGAGAAATTCCAGATTTTTTCCAAAATTCCCTGACTTTTCCAGACCAACAAAATTCCCTGACATTTCCAGGTTTTCCCTGACCGTACCAACCCTGCGATAATATAGTCGTTGGAAAATATTTTTAAATAACGAATTTACTATTGTTAGATGTGAATTCATCAGTTTTATGTAAATACATATTTATTACCTTCCTTTGGTTAAGTATTTTTACCCCGTGACCGGCCTGTGGCAGACGTGACCGGTTGTAGCAGACTTGACCGGCTGGTAACAACAGTGACCGTTTGGAAAACTCACGTGACATACTGTACAACTAAAAGTGAAGTTCAAGGGAACATAATAATCTAGGCATTACAATAAATCAGCATCTAAAAAAATAATCTTAATTTCAAATACGCTCTGGACAAAGGGAATAGATGCACATGCAGTAATGTCACGACCCCAATTACCAAAGTTGACAACAAAAACTGAATCATAATTGGCCTATATATTTAAAATGACAAAATTGTATCAACTGAACAGTGTTTAACAACACTAGGTATATATAATGTTTGAATCTTTAATAATAAATTGAAGTACTACATCCTCACTTTTACCGTTTTAGAGGATATTTTTTTTAATTATCCAAAATGCAAAGAGACAACATCTGTCAATCTCAATTTGTTTAAATCCTGTAGTTTTATGTTATATTGTTAAACATAAAGCTAAAATAATGGTTTGTAAACATAGTATCATTTGATTGGTAAATGTTTACCGGTCACGTGACCGATATGTCCGTGACCGGTCTGTATATTCGAGACACTATTTTTTATAGTCGTTCAGTTAAGATTTGTAGGCTAACCACGTTTTGAGGCAAGTTTAGTTCTTGATAACCTTTTATGATACATTTACATTTTTCATTAAATAATAATATGTTATGATTTATAAGTGTGACCGTATTGTTTGTTTGCAGACCGGTCATGCTTTACAGCAGCCTACCGGTCACGTGACCGATATGTCCGTGACCGGTCTGTATATTCGACACACTATTTTTTATAGTCGTTCAGTTAAGATTTGTAGGCTAACCACGTTTTGAGGTCAAGTTTAGTTCTTCTTGTTAACCTTTTATGATACATTTTGATTTTTCATGAAATAATAATATGTTATGATTTATAGGCTAAGTGTGGCCGTATTGTTTGTTAATTGAGGTATACAAAGTGATTCTTAGCTGGTTTTGTAGATATTTGAAGAAATATATTTAACTTTCACGCAAACAACTATACTTGTATCCAACTGTAAGACTTTAGAACCATAGAACCAGTGATTCGCGCTCTTTTTAACGGCGCACTTTAACTTTGACTCACGGACGTTCGGAGACTTACCTTTCAATTAGAAAAAAACCGTTTTGCCACTCAACTTTCTCCAGACAGATGTTAGCGTGTAGAAGTACGATTTACGTTGGCATTGGTTATTACAATTTCAAAACCAAATACTTAGGCTTAAAAAGTTAAGTTATAACTTAAAATTTTTACAATAAACCTCAAGCATAGATTCAAAAGGAGTTGTAAGTTTAGGGAATATATTGGAATATCAGGCCTAATAATAAGTCATCGTACACAATTTAATTGTCCATCGCCAAAAAAACAGCTGTTTTTGTTGTCAGGTGACCAAAACTTTCCATCACCAAAATATATTTAGAACCCTCTATTTAGTGTTTCAAACTAAGTTATGTTTCTCACTATTTACATGTTTTATAACTTATAACTTATTTTACATGAAAAATAATCCTCAGAATTCATCTTTTTAATGGTAGGTAACTCAACTTATAATCGACCAGCGCCACCGAGGACTCGCGTTTTAGTGGTCGATAATCGACCCTTGCCAGATCAAGGGTTTAGATAGTCTAAGTTAAGTTACCCTTCCGTCGGGCGCATTGATTTTCAAACACTAAAGGGCCCTCACGGAAGTTACCTCCGGGAGTACAAAGACTATGCAATAATGAGTAAAAGACATTTTAATAGCAATAAAACTGTAAGAATTTTTTTTTTAAGTTATTACACTATTAAGTTACTTTTAAGTAGGCTATAGTACAAGTTATCAAATAGAAAATGTTACCGTATAAACAAATAAAAATACGTAACTTAAACTTAAGTGTTGTGGATAAAAAAGATTTACTTCTTGTACTTATACAGTACTATCGTATGTTACAAAACAAATTTGAATATTGTATGACATAAAAACAAGTACATGGTCTAATAAAAATTATAATTTTGTACAAGGACAACTCATTCAATCAAAGCTCTTAGACAAAAATTGCATCAGTGTATGACATAAAAACACCTAGATGGTATTATGAAAAAAGATACTGTAATTTTAATTGACAGTAAGGAAAACTTACTTTGTCAAAGCTCTTTAGAAAAAATTGCAATGGTGTTTGAAATAAAACATCTATTGTCTAATGCAAAAAATCATTTGTTAGAAAGACCACACATTTTGTCAAAGCTCTTTTTCTGTGTTAAGTTACTGAGCCCTATTTTAAGTTAACTTAACTAAATTTTAAATGGAATTAAGTTAACTTAATTAAGATACAGAGTTTAGCAAAAACAACCTAGGTGCCACTGAAAATAGGCTAACCAAGTTAGCCAAGGCCATGTGCTTCAAACCAACCAAAGTACTTTATCGTTGGTTTGAAGCACATTAAGATTAAAGTTAAGTTACATGTAGGTCTAGGTAAGTTATGTACTCTGGTTAGTTTAAATATATATAGGCCTATGGTTGAAGATGAAAACAGATATGATAGAGAAGTTTCATAGAAGATGCCATATAAGTACATCTACTGTGCAAGTTATAATGGCCTCCAAAACTGAAGGCCGAATCGCCATAGTTGATCAAGTCAATCGCGCAATAGGCTTAACTTATCATTTTATCTAGGCCTAAGTTAATTAACATTTTAAATTCACTAACCTTATTACACACAATAACCATTTTAAACTATTGTTAAAAGTTATAAAAACTAAACAAGTTAGGCCTACTTTCCGGTTGCGGTCTTTGTATGAGAAATCGATCACGCTAAATAGGTTAGCAGCACCGTTTACGATCGCGTTAAAGCCTTTACGAAAATATAATTACGCATAATAAAAAGTAATGGATGAAAAAAATATATTATACAAACAAATGTTGAAATGAAATGACAGTTAAAAAGGAAAGTGTGACATTAATTTTTCTAACTCACTTTGTCTCGGTCTTGGCGTGCTTCTTGTTCAATGGCGAACGTCGAAAGAACGATCTAGAAAATGAGGCAGAGAGAGGCACGGCATGAGCATCACGGGAACAGCGCGTCATCGCATGAGGGCGGAACCTTCGCTCGGCATAATGGAAGGTCAATGATTGGCGGGAACTTCAAAACGTCACTGTCGTCGAGAATATTCTACCTACATTACGTCATCACCGATAATAACAGGCCGACTATCGTACTCTAATTTGTGTGCGTAAATGCGTTTATTTTGTTATGATTTCAATTTTGATAGTAATAATATTACCGTTTCTTTTTGTTAACTGGAAGTTGAATTGATAATTTAGCAACCATACTTCACTGTACAGCTTACTTTACCCAACCAACAAATATGACAATGTTCCTTGTGTCACAAAATGATCCTTGTAAAAAGATATACCGTACATTCGTTTTCCTTGCCTCCCCTACGACTCATTATTACAGTATGAAGATTAAGTACTCCCTAAATCTAACTGCATTGATATTTCTTGTCTTTTTGGGGGGAGGGTTAAAAGTAATATTAAGGCGACCTTATCATCATGATCATCATTGCACTATGTCATAAAATCATACACAAGAGAAGCATTGGGTTCAGGGACCTCAAAACGAAATACCCCCGCCGCAGTAAACCTGCAGACTAAGCGAATTTCAACTTGTCTGATTACATTTTGACTAAAATATTTCCATAAATAAGACATATTTATTCCCTATTTAAATAACATTAGATATAACGAGTGCTTAGGTTTGCTGCTATGGGGAAGGTAAAAAGTGTTTTTTGACCATACGTCAATAGTATAAGATGAAATAAATAAATTTGCCAAATTTTATCAATATATACCCATAAACAAGTAAACTACAACAATTTCATTTTCTCCATAAGAATAACATAGGAATTTTAAATTACGCTATTTTTGAATTTTCTCCGTGACCGTTCGACATACAACGGCGCTTCATATACTAAATTATTTATTTTTTTAAGCTCTACTAAACTGTTTGAAAGAAATTGCAAAATTTTATGTTTTTAGGGTCAAAAATGGGAAAACCCCATTTTTACCCCATAAAACCCCCTCATAAACCCCCCTTCCCATGGTCCGATTATGCTGGATCACAAACTTGTTCGAATAAACTTTTAACGGACACACACACATACGCACATATATATATATGAATCTAATGAATGGTGTTATAGCCTCTAGGGACCTCAAAATGAAAAATTAAATCGGTCCCGGGTCCAGGTCTTACCATGAGTACAGCGGTAATAGATTATTCCCTATACGGGAAATTCACTAAAAGTAAATCGGTCCCGGGTCCAGGTCTTACCAAAAGACCTACGGTAGCCTAACAGCTTATTCCCTATACGGGAAATTCACTAAAACGTATTAAAACTATATAACTTATAATCAACGAGGTGTTAGCCCGTCCTACGTACGGTACGGGAGTAGTCAGTTAAAACTGTGATAAATCAGAACAGCTAGCTTACACGTATAAAGACAAATTTTATAGCAGCCTACAGTAGAAAGAGTAATTATCAATTGAGAAAGTGTATAGGCCTAGTCAACGATATGACCATCCAATTCCATCGCATACCTGCCTCTTCCATAATCAATATCAACACAATACAATTACTCATACTACATATACACAATTTCCAGTAGGTCTGAATAGAAACTCCCTAAAATAAAACGAAAACATCCAATAAAATTTACAGTACACATAATTATAACATTGGTGTCCTGACATCATTACACGAATCGTCCACACATATCCTTTATATCAATTTCACTGCATCAATTGCTAAATAAATAAGTGTAAACAAAGAAAAGTAAAAACAACAACATATAGTTTGTTTTGGGAAACAGCTGAGTAAAATTAAAATAATATTCATTTGAACAAAAGAACTGGTCACATGTTGAAGGAATTTAAAACGTAAAACACGCTAGTAAAGCTAGTGACGTAATTAATTGTCTATGTTTATTATCCATTCCGTTATCAGTTCTAATATCCTTAATAATTAACCACCCTAATTGAATCAATGTACACCGTAATTCCCCATATTCATTTATTTAAACTATAAAATATTCAGCGCCTCCAAACGTAACCACAACTATACACACGCCAAACAACTTTTTAGATTTCATAATAGGATGGTTTGGTTAGTCTAATTTTTGCAGTATCCTAAGTCAATGATGACGTTGTGCTCAATCTATGTCATTCATATCTGTATCTTTGGATAAAACCCGTCTGGGTTGTGGTGGTAATTTAAAATTGTATTTCTGAGGATTCTTGATCTCCTTGACATCAATATTTCCGGGCCTAATCCAAACAAAGTTTAATCATTCAAAAACATTGATTGTAAACAAACCAAGATGAATTAAAACGTGTAAAAAATGGATTTTCATACCCTTTCTAAAAAAGTTGAGCAGTATAATGCATATCCTTTTTTTAAGACTCGTGTACAGAGCCTCGACTTGTATACATCGATGGTGTTACTTTTCTCGGTGGTCTACTAATCTTACTTATTTCCTGAAAATCAATGACAAATCAGAGTAAATAAAATAACCTCATAGTTCTACAGAGCATTTTTATATTTAACCAGCTGTTAGTTAAAAGAAAATTATGTTGCACTAAAACAAACCGAAGATTGCAAAGATTTATATTTAAAAAATCCTTTGAACATCCTAGTATATTAAAAAAATCTGTCATCCTCTTATCGAAGGATTGAACGTATCAATGATTAGCATTACACATAGTATAAATAAGTCAACCCTTAGTATGTCTTTTAATTTTATCCAAATGCTGAATTTGTGTTACAAACGCTGAATGTTTACAGCTGTTATGTTAAACAAATTATAATACACCAAAAGCTAGTTTAGAATCTTAGCGTCGGCTGCTAGACTTTTCAAAAATTAAAACTTAATTTCTAAATAACTGGGGCCCTAAACTAAAATTATGGCTTCGACATTCCCTAGTTCTCAAAATTATCTTTCTTTCAACACAAAAATAATGAAAATCCGTCGAGTGGTTGATTCAGAATCGTGAAATAAAAAAACACTGTTTCGTTTTAATATTATAGATAAAATTCTGCATTAAATCAACAAAAACTCTTACTTTATATATTTATAACTCCGTGGTGTCACCAACGAAGGGTTAAACCAGTGATTCCATAAGCAGGATTTATAGATTGTGTATAGCCTGGGACTGAAACGGGATGCGGGATGAAAGAGGATTTTCAGCTCTGCTATGACTAGCGAATTTCCCATTTTGAGGTCCCCAGAGGCCAAAAACACCCTCCACAAATTCATATATATATTTATGTCGGTTAGCGCGATAACTCGAGCAAAAATTATGCGATTTTGATGAAATTAGGTACAAAACGTGTAGACCTATGTTAATTCGAACGAGTTTGCGAACCAGCATGATTGGACTATGGGGGGTTTTATGGGGTAAAAATTACATTTTTCCATTTTTTACTATAAAATCATTACATTTTACAATTTCTTTCCAGACCAATTTGTAGAGCTTAAAAAAAAGAAATAATTTTGTATTATTAAAGCCTTGTATGCCTTCTTAAGTGTTACGGAGGTAATAAAAAAAAAACGTTACATTTAAAATTCCCATATTATTCTCATGGAGAATTAATAAACGGTTGTAGTTTGCTTGTTTATTGACATATTTGAATCAAATTTGCCAATTTTGTTTAGTTCATACTAAGCTAACAGCATTTTAATCAAAACACACCTCAATACCTTCCCCGTAGCAACAAACCTAGGTGCTCATTAATTAATGTTATTTAAATAGGAAATAAATCTGACAATTTTCAGGGTATATTTTAGTAGAAATCCAGCCAGGTAAATGGAAATTTTCTTAGTCTGCAGGTTTGCTGTGGCGGGGGTATTTATTATAAGTGTGACAAATCTATTGTAGTCTACTTATTATATTTAATGGTAAATAAAGACTTACGACTTTCCTTTTCATGTCAAAAAAGATGGTAGGTAAGTCAATTCCTTCTTTAATGCATAATCGTAACTGCAATAAGTCCTTTGAAAGTAGGCTACCTTAAGTGGGGTTGGATTAGGTAAGGTTTTAAAAAAATTAGGTTCTAATCAACTGAATTGTCAAGTATGTTACCCACAGACTGTTGAGTTACTGTAAGTTTACAACTAAAACACAGGGGAAAACATTGCAAGATTAATAACATATTTTTTTTTTTAAATTTTTTTACTTTAAAGAGCTTACCTTCCTTAACATATAAGTTAATCCAACCTAACTTTAAATTACTTAAAACAGCCCCTTATTCTTACACCTTTGAAATAAGCTATTTTACATCATCTAAGCCTACTAATATCTATTCTATATATAGTTCAGTTTTAAATCTTTGTACAACTAAATCTAGAGTTCTACTGGACCGATTTTATTAATTAATGGGTCGTTGGAAAGCCCAACTCATGTAGATTTGCAAATAATTATGAAAGTGTGATATTAAATATTTGTGGTAAAAATGTAAAAATAACAAAAATACATTCAAAACTTTTTTTTCAAGTTTCTATTTGTAGCAAGCTTTTGGCTGCCTTTATTACGCATTTCAACAAGAAATGCATAGTAGTTATTTATAGTAAATTTTATTATCTTTCAGAATATATAACATCCACTTTGGTCGATTTCTCCTCCATTGAAAAGTTATTGGCAATAATCTAAGTGATCTCCAAATTTATAGTGGTGAGAAAATACTGAACCTAGATATATTTTTGTTAACATTTGCACAACTAAATCTAGACTTCTACCGGACCAATTTTGTTACTTAATAGGGCGTTGGAAAGCCTAATTCGTGTAAATTTGCAAATAATTATGAAAGTTTGATTTTATTACATATTTCAAGTAAAACAATAAAAATAAACAATATTACATTTAAAACACCTTTTTTCCAAGTTTGTATTTGTAGCCAACTTTAGGCTGCCTTTATTGAGTATTTGCCAGAAATACATATAATATTAATTTGTAGGAAATTTTATTCCCTATCTATGATCAGAATATCACCTTCCACTTGGGTCGATTTCCTCACTATTTCAAAGTTATTTGCAAAAAGGCTAAACAACCTCCGA